GGGGGGCTCCTGGGAAGCAGCAGCCCCCTCCCTGCCGCGGAGCAGAGGTGCTGGGCTCAGACCCCGCTGGGCTCCCACCGCCGCCTCCCGGCACGTCCACAGCTCCCCAGGGACCTCACACCACGGAGGCCACCCCTGAGACGGACGTCACCTTGTTGTCCTCAGCCCAGGGCTGCAGGTTCTGCAGGGCGTAGAGGGAGGAGTTGTGCATGCAGAGCGGGTCCTGGGGCAGCGGCTGGCTCAGGCTCTTCTGGAAGGCCTCCTGCTGCAGGTGCAGCATCAGGCGGTTGGCCTGCTGGCGCTCCGCCTCGCGCTCCTCCGCCGTCTGCCTCCTGCCAGCACACACGCCCGTCCGGCACTGCCCCGCTGCTGCCTGCAGCCCGTCCCGCTGCCAGCATCGCTGTGTGCCCGTGCAGCGATGCCCCACAGCCTTCACCCCACAGCCTACCCTGCTGCCTGCACCGCTGTGTGCCGGCGCGGCAATGCCCTGCAGCCCCTGCCCTGCAGCCCCGTCCCTCTGCACTGCTGTGTGCCGGCGCGGCAATGCCCTGCAGCCTCTGCCCTGCAGCCCCTGCCCTTTGCACTGCTGCGTGCCGGCACAGCAATGCCCCACAGCCTCTGCCCCGCAGCCCCATCCCTCTCAGCACCGCTCTGCACTGGTCTGGCAATGCCCTGCAGCCTCTGCCCTGCTGCCAGCACTGCTGTGTGCCGGTGTGGCACTGCCCCACAGCCTCCACCCCACAGCCCTGACCCTCTCTCGGCACCCCTGTGCACTGATGCAGCAACGCCCTGTCGCCTCTGCCCGCAGCCCATCCTGCTGCCGGCACTGCCGTGCTCCAGTGCAGCAATGCCCCACAGCCCCTGCCCTGCCGCCCGTCCCTCCCTCGGCACCACCGTGCCTCACCCGGCCGGACACAGGGGATGCAGCGGGGATGGGCACCCCACTTCGCCCGGCCCAGCCTCTCCCGGGGGGCACAGCCGCGGGGGGGGGGGGCTGGCGGGGGGGGGGAG